TGAGGGGAGTCCTGGCGGCAGAGAGAGGGAAGAGTGCACGGTCACCCCCAGCGTCAGGAGACACGGGCGGGCATCCCAGCCCCTCACTGTCCCCAGCCAGCCTCCCACACCTGGCCTGAGCCCCGACAGACCCCATCACAAGGTCCCCATTGGCCCGGGGAGCAGCAGCAGCCTGGGCTGGCGAGGCCACAGGACAGGCAGTGCTTGGTGCCTCCAGCTCGCCTCATGGAGGGGAGTTGGCAGAGGAGCCGTGTGGTGCCCACCTGTGGCAAGAGGCAGCCCCTCACTGTCCCCAGCCAGCCTCCCACACCTGGCCTGAGCCCCGACAGACCCCATCACAAGGTCCCCATTGGCCCGGGGAGCAGCAGCAGCCTGGGCTGGCGAGGCCACAGGACAGGCAGTGCTTGGTGCCTCCAGCTCGCCTCATGGAGGGGAGTTGGCAGAGGAGCCGTGTGGTGCCCACCTGTGGCAAGAGGCCCCTGCTGCTCTGAGGTGTGGGCTGTGTGCCTCCTCCTGTGCCTTGTGTCCCCTGGCTCCTGGGGGGCTTGGAGGGCAGGGACTTGCCAGCTCCGGCTGTGTGGCTGTCACACCAGGGGCCAAGCCACCCCGGGGCACCGCCCAAGTACCCAAACTCCTTGTGACCCAAGCCCTGTGCCCTGCTGCCCGGACCAAGGCGCCCAGAGCGTGCAGCAGGGACCCAAAGGCTTCTGCCGAGGAGCCCCACACCCCGCCCTGCTGCCCCCAGAGGCAGCCAGGGTCGGATGCAAAGCAGCAGAGAGCCCGCAGTGTCCCCATGGGGCAGTCCTGCCTCCTGCATCCCCAGGCTGCAGGGTCCTGAAGGGAACTTAGCACAGGGCTGCACGTGGCCCCTCCCGCCAGGGCTTGGCCGTACCTTGGTTGGAGCTGTTGGAGGGGAGGCGATCGGTCGCCTTCAGGGTCCGGAAATGGACCCGCTTGCTGGCCTGGCTCTCTCCATGCAGGCCGATGCTCTGCACCTGGATGATGTAGTCGGCATCCTCCGCCAGGTCCCACAGCACGCAGGCCCGGTTGGTGGTGTTCACCTCCCGGATGAAGCGCTGCATTTGCCCGTCCTGCCGCTGCCAGCGTGGGAGAGACAGTCAGGCCCAGGAGCTGCCCAGCCCTTGCAGCGGGGTTAGTGAGGGCAAGAGGCAGCTCAGTGCATGGGGAAGCGGCACCGTGAGCTCCTCGGAGACTCCTCTGAGCTGGGCAGGGGAGGGCAGCATTTTTGGGGCACCCCATGGCGCTGCCCAAGGGGATGGGCTCAGCACAGGCAGCAGCCTGAAGCACAGACATTTTGTAGGGAGATTTCAAGGTGGGCTGGAGGCCTGCTGGCCCTAGACAGCCCGTGCTGGTGCCCCAGCAGTAGGATGGCCAATGAAGGAAGAAGGACCCTCATCATCCCTGGGGTGGGGCAGTGCTGGGGAAGGCAGGGGGCGCAGGGCCCTGGGGGCAGAGCCTGGCATACCTGCTGCAAGATGGCATAGCCAATGACGACATCTCCCTCCGGGACATCCCAGGAGACAGTGGCCGAGTTCGCCTTCAGCTGAGTGACAGTCACGTTGACAGGGGACGGCGGCCGAGCTGGGGGG